CTCTCTTGTTCAGCGATGATCAGTTCTTTTCATAAGGTGTTCTGTCCATGGTTCCTATAACTTCTTGTATTCAAATATTTTGCATAAATTATATTATATAAATAATATACATATTCAAATATGCATCCAGTTAAAAGGAACCATGTAAAGGTGTTGTTAGGTTTCAGAAATTCAGCTAAACAGCTTGCGGGATTGCGATCCGTTCACTGTCAATACCCAGTTTCTTACTCCAGTTATTAAGAATAACAATCTATGAGGATACGTCGTCATGGTGATAAATTCTGGGAAGCAGGAAAATAATAATCAGTTGAACTTTTTTGGTTCTCCAAATAGTTTTGCATTTATAACACGTTGGTAACACTATATTTCTCAGAAGGGTATCATTCTTCATCTTCATCTAGTAAAGAATATCATAGACTCCACTTAGGTATGTTCATGAATAGCAAGTGCTGATTATCAGGCCACCATGGGTCATTTTCCTAGTGATGACCAATGCCGATTCCGTTAAGACGATGAATTAGTAGTAAATACGTAGCTTAAAATAAAAGCTGTTATAAGGGGTTTGAAAGCAAACTGCTAGCTTTCAAATCCGAAAGACTGACAACGAGAAAACATGGAGCTTATTTCTTCCATTTCGTGAAACTAACCAGAAAACCAGAAAAAATATCTGTCTCGATAGCTTGCTGCTGGTACAAATTTTTTTAATTGTAGTAATTTTTCTAGAAAAACGAAGGTTAATGAATAGTTCATATACGCATCGGTAGGACAATAAACTACTTTCTCATAACTTCTAGCTCTAGATCTTCTGGTGCAACCGTCTAACGCTGGCCAAAAGACAGTTTAGACAATCGTGCCTTAAAGACGATGGGGAAACAGTGGTCTTGTAGCATTTAACGAAAAAAAACTCTCAAGGTGGTAAGATTTACCGTTCTGGTAACGGTCACATGAGCTGCTGCAATCTTGTGCCTAACGTTTTGGTGTACCTCACGTCGTCAGAGGCTTTGGTGTAATCGACAACACAAAAGCAGAGAGCAGCCTAATTAAACGCACGAAAAGTCTCAGCTAGTCATTAGCTAGAATGTCTGTAGCTAAA